CCCCCCCCGCCCCCCGCAGCCTCGACCCGCTGGGCTCCGGCGATCCTTCCGCTCAGCCTTCCGAGTCGCCGGAACTACAGGCGCGCGCTACCACGCCCGGCTGATTTTTGATTTGTTGTAGAGATGAGCTCTCGCCAAGTTGCCCAGGCGGGTCTCGAACCCGCGGGCTCAGGCCAGCCACTCACCTCAGCCTCCCAAGGCGCGGGATTACAGGCTGAGCCACCGAGCCCGGCTGGCTATCGAACATTCGAAATGTGGATAGTGCAACCGAGGAACTGAATTTTTCTTTTTATTTAATTTTAATTAATGGAAGTTCAAACTTTAAAAATACTTTAATGGTAACGGTGCAATCCCACACATATGTAAGCATCCATTGACGATTCTTGCCTGAAAGCAGTTATTATTATGATGGTTGTTAAATGTTGGTTTTTCTAATTTCATCATTCTTTTCTCTTTTTTTCTTTTTTGTTGGAGTCTCACTCTTGTTGCCCAGGCTGGAGTGCAGTGGCACGCTCACGGCCTCCGCAGCCTTGACCTGCTGTGCTTAGGCAATGCTTCTGCCTCAGCCTTCCAAGTAGCTAGAACTGCAGATCATCATTCTTTATACATCTCAGTTGACTTTTTTTTTCTTGAGTTGGAGTCTCACTCTGTCGCCCAGAATGGAGTGCAGTGGCCGCTCCTGACCACCGCAGCCTCGACCCGCTGGGCTCCGGCGATCCTTCCGCCTCAGCCTTCCAAGTAGCTGGAACTACAGGTGTGTGCTAGCATGCCCGGCTAATTTTTTTGATTTATTGTAGAGATCAGGTCTTGCCAAATTGCCTAGGTGGATCTCAAACCCGTGGGTTCAGGCAATCCACTCACCTCAGCCTCCCAAAGTGCTGGGATTACAGGCTGAGCCACTGAGCCCGGCTTGACTTTCTTCTGTAACGAAGAGCTTTCCCAGCTGCATGCCGTGGCTCACGCCTGTAATCCCAACACTTCAGGAGGTGGAGGGGAGAGGACTGCCTGAGCCCATGGGTTCGAGTCCAGCCTGGGCAAGATGGCAAGACCTTGGCTCTACAATCAAAAAAAAAAAAGAAAAACTAGCCGGGCATGGTAGCTTACACCTGTGGTTCCAGCTTACTTGGAAGACTGAGGCGGAAGGATCGCTTAAGCCCTGCGGTGGCCGTGAGCTTGCCACTGCACTCCAGCCTGGGTGACAGTGAGACTCCAACTCAAAAAAGAAAGAAAGAGCTTTCCCTTCACCCCCTTTTATGTATTAATGTGACCCAAATGTGTTATATGTGGCTCTAAAGGTGGATGCACGTTCATGTATTTTACCGCCGGTTAGTTATGAATTGTGTGGAATACCTTTTCGCATATATTCTTGCTGTCTGCATAAAAACTACTATAAATCTATGCTGGTGCATATCTTAATGGGTAAGAGCCTGTCGTGCAATCAGAAGTTGTTCAGTAGTTAAAATTCAACCTAAAGGGCATACTTTATCCTCACTAGAATATGTCAGGTCATCTAAAACATTAATAACGGTCGAGATAAACATATATCTACTGAAGAATCTGGTATGTGGAAAATATGATGGTAGGCTGGGCGCGGTGGCTCACTCCAATAATGCCAGCAAATCGGGAGGCCGAGGCGAGAGGATTGCCTGAGCCCACGGGTTCGAGACCAAGCCCGGGTAACTTGGCGAGACCTCGTCTTTACAATAAGTCAAGAAAAATTAGGTGGGCGTGATGGCACTTGCCTGTAGTTCCAGCTCCTTGAAGGTGGAAGGATTGCCGGAGCCGAGCAGGTGGAGGCTGGGGTGGCCGGGTGTGTACCACTGCACTCCAGCCTGGGTGACAGTGAGACTCCGACTCAGAAAAAACCAAAAACCAAAGAAACCAATCTTCTGTGATTTCTAACGTTGTATATATTTTCCATAGGAGTCTTCTCAACTATTTGAATGAGAGAGATTCATCATGTATCTTTCCTTCCTTTTTAGGGTAACCTACAGTTGCTGCAGAACTGTCTGGCAGTGTTAAATGGAGACACATAAAGCCACAGTCCACCTTCCTGTTCAAAAGGGCTGCCTTCCTTCGGGTTTTTGTTTGTTTGGTTGGTTTTTTTTGTTTTCTTACTGATGTCAGGCATTTATGCTCTCTGGAAACAAACAGAAAACAGCTGACAAAGCGCACCTACTCTTCTTTTTCTGAGAAACGATGCAGCACTGCCATGCCTAGGTGCTGCCCCGCCGTGTGGTGTGACACCGCACTGTGTTCCCCGAGACACTTGTCCATCCTCGTGCGCTCATCCTACTCAGAAGTCCAAAGTTCATTCTTTTTAAAAGTATCCTCTATAACTGTGTTTATTTTACAAATAGTATTCCTTATGGATGCCAATCTTATTTACCCCCTAAAGAATTTCTGAAGTTTAAGCCTCTCAGAATGCATCGTTTAAACAAGATAAAGATTGCCTTTATTGAATTTCTTTTTTCATTTTGTTTTTAAAAAGCATCGTATACCGCCTTAGTTCATGTATGTATCCCGGTAAAGCATCTTAAACAGACTTATTTTTAATTAATAAGCGTTTCTTAGAAGTTTTGGGACAGACTTTATGTAATCTTCATAAGTATGATTTCTGAAGAAAAGCAAATGCATTAGTATGTTTGCCTTAAACTTGTAGACTAAACCAATTATTGTAAAATAAACAGCGGTAACAGTGATAGTTTTTAACTCTGTGGTCATTGCATCACTCTAAAATTAGGAGTAGCTAATAAATCTACTCCTGTATTATGCTTTACAGTGCAGGTCTTAGTTTTTCTCTTTTCTCATTTCTTTTACAGCGGCATATTGAACAAAGTTCGCCAATCCTTTTATAAAAGAATGAACCGCTCCTCTGTGCGTACTTCATAGAAAGTGCAGTTGGGCAGAGGCAGGTTAGCGACAGCTGTCTGTGAAACACAGGAGCAGAGTACAGCCTGTTATGGTTTCCTGGATTCCGTCCCCAGCTCAGCCAGTTAACCATGAGACATACGCCACTGAGCCACTCAGTAGTCACGCCAGTGTATCGACTGGTCTGTGGAGGGAAAGAGGCCTGCTAGAAGGAACAGCACTTGTCTGTGGGGGAAAAAATATAGACTATTTGAGATAAAAGTCGTTGTACAGATAGGATACTGATTGCCAATAGTTAGAGAACAGATATTATCGGCCTTTCTCATGTGAATGAAAATTTCTGTCATCCCTAGCTTAAGGTTAGATCGAGTGGTTAGATTTCTCTACTGCCTTTCCTCACGTTTCTCTGACTTGGAGACCATAGGCATTTGGGCTGGTCACCTCTTGGATGGGTTTCTCATTTGTTTACATTTTTCCAAACTGTTCTGAATGCCTGGACTTGGGCTTGTCGCCAGTCATGATGATTCCAGCCTTTCTCAGCATGTTCTGTTGCCTCCCTTGTGTTGGGCGATGTTTTGTCTCTTTAACTGACATGCTCCCCGATGCTGTTTGAGTTGTTGATTTTTCTGTCGTTGGCTGAGAGATCAATGTGTTTTGTCCTTCATGTAACCTTCGCTGGTAAAAATAAGCCTGTGTGATGTCCACCGGTGGGTGAGTGAACGCAGGACCAATTTGGCTTCTGGATTCAGGTCCGGCCCCTTCACCTGCTGCCCTGTGGCCTCAGGCCACACAGGTTTGGACACGTTTGCTGGACTTCTGCCTCAGTTCTCTACTATAAAGGACATGATGACCTACCTCACAGGGGTGTTGTGAGGATTAATAAATGTTGGTACTGTGCTTTGGAAACGTGAAGATGCTGTGTAAATGCTAAGAACCACTACGTATGGGGCCCAAAGCGGTATGATGTTTGGCTCAACCATTTGCTACTCCATGTTTACCAGAGTGGTCTCTTTTGGGGAAAGGAGGCAGAATGGGAAACACCTGTATCCCTTGGCCCCTGGCTTAAATTTTTAGAGCGCTCATTGTGGTGATGGGAGTAGACTGGAAGCAGCAGTACGGAGGTCTCCCTTCTCCACGGTGTCGCTTTCCCTGGTTTCAGTTACCTGTGGTCAACCAAAGCCTGAAAGTATTAAATGGGAATGTCCAGAAATAAATAATTCATAGGTTTCACATTTCGTACCATCCTGAGCAGCGTGATGAAACAAACCTCTTGCCAGCCCACCTGAGACGGGGAATCATTCCTTTGTCCGGTGTATCCACACCGCATATGCTGTCTTGCCGGTTAGTCACGAAGCAGCCATCGTGGTTATCAGATCAACAGATCACACGAAGAAAGTTGAGTATGGTACAGCAAGATGTTTTGAGAGAGACCACATTCAAATAATTCTTGTCACAGAGTATTATTATAATTGTTCTGTTTTATTAATATCTTACTGTGCCTAATTTATAAAATAAAGTTTGTTGGCTGGGCACAGTGGGTCACACCTGGAAACCTGGCACTTTGGGAGGCAGAGGCAAGAGGACTGCCCGAGCTCAGGGGTTCGAGACCAGCTTGAGCAACATGGCGAGACCTCATCTCTACAGTAAATCAAAAAATTGGCCAGGCGTGGTGGCGTACGCCTGTGGTTCTAGCTACTTGGAAGGCTGAGGCAGAAAGATTGCCTCAGCCCAGCAGGTCGAGGCTGTGGTGGCCATGAGCATGCCACTGCACGCCAGCCCGCGTGACAGAGTGAGACTCAGACTCAAGTTAAACTTTCTAACAGTATGTACGTATAGGAAAAAACATAGTATATAGGTTTGGTCGTAACGGAGGTTTCGGGCATCCGCTGGGGGTCTTGGAACGTGGTGTCCCTGCAGATCAAGGAAGACTACTGTACACACGAAGAGTGCGTATGTGTGTGCGTGTATAGAGTTGATAGTTGTACTACGCGAGGCCTCACGAAACAAGTAAGGTAAAGGATATGCACGACTCCCTCCTCTTCTGTGCTTCCAGATTCCAGAGCTTGCTGCCAGTCACTGACACGAACGGCCAGCCCGAGATGCATTGCTGCCTGAGACATTCTTTTTACGTGCATTGTCCATCCGGTGTCTGGGAGTCACAAAGGTGAAATAGGAAGACACCTAGCGATAGAGGATAACTGCGTGGACACTTAGCTCTAGGAGTTTGGTACTGTGTTCCAAGATGTTCCTCGGGGACCCCAGAGGCAGAGGTCATCTCGTGGAAGGGCTCGGGCTTCCTCTGGTGATACTTTATGAACCGAGGGACAGGAGGAAGAGGAGTGGTCCAGGCAGCGTGAATGGCCTAGGGACTCAACGGAGGGATGGCATCTGGGTAGTTCAGGAGGAGAGGTTTATGCACTCAGGGTGGAGTTGCGAGAGAACGTGGGTCTGCTTGTGGGCCAGTGGGGCTCAAAGGCTGGGTGAGATATCTACCTACTTTAGAAAAACTGCTACAGTTTTTTTGTTTTTGTTTTTGTTTTTTTTTTGAGTTGGAGTCTCACTGTAGCCCAGACTGGAGTGCAGTGGCCGCTCCCGGCCACCGCAGCCTCGCCCGCT